GCCATTTTTCTTATGATTTGCCACATTTCTTATCAGCATTTTTGGCACCCGTCTGTTCTTACCCTGAATCCAGAAAAGCAGCAGGCAGAGGAGGGGAGCCTTTGAGATCATTTTGCTGCTGTATGATTGGAAATGCTCGTCAGTAAGGCATGGGGTGGAATTGGAGCCATTTATGTTTTCAGCAGCTCAGTGAGGGACCGTCAGCCATGTGTGAATAGGCAAAAAAGAGCCCAGTTATGTAAATTGCCAGATGTGTCATGCCGGGGAGGGGGTTTTTAAGAAGGTGGTTTGACACTGTAGTAACTACAACACATTTGCATGATTCAAATGGAAAAACAGCCAGATTAACTTTACAGGACAGGGAATTAACAACGGCTGTTTGTTAGTGATGGGGAACCAAGCAAGAGGCCAGTTGGCACTCAAATAGGATGAGCCAAAGTCATTCAGGCATTTCCTGTGTGGGGTTTAAATGCAGGCGGCCTTTTCTCTTTTAATGACCCCAATGTCGTTATTTATGGGACCAGATTTTCAAGGCAGCAGTGGCGCTGGCGGCTGCATGGTTCTCTGCATCGGCCCTACTGACTGCAGGCATTCTGCACCCTTAGCATGGTGGCTGTTCTCAAAGGCTTGAAGGGTGCAGGCAGGCAGGACAAAAGTGAGGTCTGGAGAGAGAGAGACCCAAAGTTGGAGCATGCTCAGATTTGGGGTGTAAACTGCACAGCCCAGAAATGTTGAAAAATGGTGTCTATGTGCCAGCCTCCAGCGCTGCCTTTTGTTTCTGGGCCACTTCACCCTCTACTTCTGTGATGTGCTGGGTGCCAGGGTTGTTGTGTGAGTAGGGCAGGGGGCCACCAGATGTGCCAGCCTCCAGCGCTGCCCATTGTTTCTGGGCCACTTCACCCTCTACTTCTGTGATGTGCTGGGTGCCAGGGTTGTTGTGTGAGTAGGGCAGGGGGCCACCAGACTTCCTAACCTCCACTGGGGTTACCACTCTGAACCACTGCTAGCTCTTCTAAGTGGTGTGGCCAATCCAGACATCACTAGGAAGCTGCCTAACTAGCTCTTTGCTTGTCACCTGCTGACTTTTACTGGTCGGACCCGGTCTGAATCGATCACACCCCATCCCTTCTGGAGAAAGGGTTCAGTGTCCTTCAGTGTGTCCCTTCCACTTCCCTGGCAATTGGGCCCTACCCCTCCTCTGGTCTACCTCTCCAGTCCCTATGAAAATCCTGCTTGTGCATAACACCTGATTGTGCCTCAGACCTTTGTGAACCTGTATGAAGGTACTCTACACAGAGCATACCTGATCTTTACACTGCCCTTGAAAAATCTCTAGATTTGTGTAAGTTTCCTAGATGGATAATGATTCTGAGACTTTTAGCTGGGATTTTGTTGATTTTCTATTTAAATAAGAAACCTGGGGGTCATTTTAGAAATGTCTTTCTAATGGAGAGCTCATTGCATTTTTCCTAAGAAACAGCTTTCCATCTGGAAACATGGAGTTAACATTTACACGCTCTGCAGAAATAGATGTTCTGCACCGGCACTGCTTCCGGCCAGCCTTAACCCCGCTTCAGGGTCCACTTAATGTGGACGCGCTAGTTCGAATTAGCAAAACGCTAATTCGAACTAGTTTTTAGTTCTAGATGTGTTAGTTCGAATTAGCTTAGTTCGAATTAGCGCTGTAGTGTAGACATACCCTAAGATTTTTAAACCCAATAAATTCACAGTTAATTCTGGACTTAATCAAAGATGGAATATGCTTTGTAGTGAAATCCTGATCACCCTCTATTCTTCAGCTTGTGCTTTAACAAAATTTAATTGCATAACTAATCTCCCAGGATAGCAATACATTTGGAAACTAAAACTTGTGTGTACTACTGTCTACTAGACATTATGCTTCATAGAGCAGGAAGGTTTTTGTACTGGTCTGTATCACTGTGAGAGGGAAGTTAGTATACTGCTGGCAGTAATAATCTCCAGCGTCATCACTTTCAACCCGGCTGATGGTGAATGTGAAGTCGGTGCCAGACCCACTGCCACTGAACCGGTCTGGGACCCCAGAGGGTCGGCTGGAAGCAGCATAGACAAGCAGCTTCGGTGCTTGTCCTGATTTCTGTTGGTACCAGGCTATAGCAGCACCAATGCTTGAACTGGCTTTGCAGCGGATAGTGACTGTGTCTCCAGGAGACACTGCCAGGGATTCTGGCGTCTGAGTCATCACAGTCTGCCCACTGGAACCTGGAGACAATAAATAAAAATTAGTAGGTCTGAGGTTGGATAAATGAGACAGTGACAGTCACATTCTTCAAAGCTCCATACTGAAACACTAACAAAGCAAAAGGTAGAAATGTACATAGAATCAGCATATAACTATGCAAACCACGGCCATTTTTCTTATGATTTGCCACATTTCTTATCAGCATTTTTGGCACCCGTCTGTTCTTACCCTGAATCCAGAAAAGCAGCAGGCAGAGGAGGGGAGCCTTTGAGATCATTTTGCTGCTGTATGATTGGAAATGCTCGTCAGTAAGGCATGGGGTGGAATTGGAGCCATTTATGTTTTCAGCAGCTCAGTGAGGGACCGTCAGCCATGTGTGAATAGGCAAAAAAGAGCCCAGTTATGTAAATTGCCAGATGTGTCATGCCGGGGAGGGGGTTTTTAAGAAGGTGGTTTGACACTGTAGTAACTACAACACATTTGCATGATTCAAATGGAAAAACAGCCAGATTAACTTTACAGGACAGGGAATTAACAACGGCTGTTTGTTAGTGATGGGGAACCAAGCAAGAAGCCAGTTGACACTCAAATAGGATGAGCCAAAATCATTCAGGCATTTCCTGTGTGGGGTTTAAATGCAGGCGGCCTTTTCTCTTTTAATGACCCCAATGTCGTTATTTATGGGACCAGATTTTCAAGGCAGCAGTGGCGCTGGCGGCTGCATGGTTCTCTGCATCGGCCCTACTGACTGCAGGCATTCTGCACCCTTAGCATGGTGGCTGTTCTCAAAGGCTTGAAGGGTGCAGGCAGGCAGGACAAAAGTGAGGTCTGGAGAGAGAGAGACCCAAAGTTGGAGCATGCTCAGATTTGGGGTGTAAACTGCACAGCCCAGAAATGTTGAAAAATGGTGTCTATGTGCCAGCCTCCAGCGCTGCCTTTTGTTTCTGGGCCACTTCACCCTCTACTTCTGTGATGTGCTGGGTGCCAGGGTTGTTGTGTGAGTAGGGCAGGGGGCCACCAGACTTCCTAACCTCCACTGGGGTTACCACTCTGAACCACTGCTAGCTCTTCTAAGTGGTGTGGCCAATCCAGACATCACTAGGAAGCTGCCTAACTAGCTCTTTGCTTGTCACCTGCTGACTTTTACTGGTCAGACCCAGTCTGAATCAATCACACCCCATCCCTTCTGGAGAAAGGGTTAAGTGTCCTTCAGTGTGTCCCTTTCTACTTCCCTGGCCATTGGGCCCCACCCCTCCTCTGGTCTACCTCTCCAGTCCCTATGAAAATCCTGCTTGTGCATAACACCTGATTGTGCCTCAGACCTTTGTGAATCTGTATGAAGGTACTCTACAACAGAGCATACCTGATCTTTACACTGCCCTTTAAAAATCTCTAGACTTCAACAGAGCATACTTGATCTTTACACTGCCCTTGAAAAATCTCTAGACTCGTGTGATTTTCCTAGATGGATAATGATTCTGAGACTTTTAGCTGGGATTTTGTTCATTTTCTATTCAAATAAGAGGAAACCTGGGGGTCATTTTAGAAGTGTCTTTCTAATGGAAGAGCTGTTTGCATTTTTTCCTAAGAAACAGCTTTCCATCTGGAAACATGGAGTTAACATTTAAATGTTCTGCAGAAGTGGATACATTCTCTTCAAAGTTTCAGGTACAAGTTTTGTGGCTGTCAAAACATTTCCTTCCCATGTGGTCATAATGGTTGTTTTACTGTCATTTTGACTATTCTTTTCCATTGTGCTGTGCTGTGTTGTGTTGTCATCTGAATTTCATAATGTTTAAATGAACATTTCGACCTTATTGATATGAAACATCTCTGATTTTTTTCAAAAATAAATGTATTTTCTGGTGCAATTAGATTCAAAGTGGGAATAAAACAAAAAATTTTAGTGAACGTCAAGTCTCTGTGTATATTCTAGCCATGGCTTTGAATCAATTAGATTCAAAGTGGGAATAAAACAAAAATGTTTAGTGAACCTCAAGTCTCTGTGTATATTCTAGCCATAGTTTTGAACATGCCAATTGTGTGCGTGGAAGAGGGAAAGTCACCATCTTATTTCAGGTTTGAAAGAACATCTGAAAACCAGATAGTTATATCTTCAACAAATGGAAACTGCATTGCATGCTGCAGAAAACAGAAAGGTTTTTGTACTGGTCTATATCACTGTGGGAGGGAACTCGTTACCTTGCTGACAGTAATAGTCTGCAGCATCATCTGCTTGTACATTGGTGATTGTGAGTATGAAATCAGTGCCAGACCCACTGCCGCTGAACCAGGCTGGGATTCCTGACTGCAGATTAGTAGCAGAGTAGATAAGAAGTTTGGGAGCTTGCCCAGGTTTCTGTTGGTACCAGTGTAAGCTATTGCTAATGCTTTTGCTGGCTTTGCAGTTGATGGAGACTCTTCCTCCCACTGGCACTGAGAGAGATTCCGGGGTCTGAGTCATCACAACTTGCCCAAGGCAGCCTGGTTAAAGAGACAAGGAAAGTTGGGAATGAACAACTATAGAATGCTGGATAGGACAAGGATTCAGACCCTGAAACACAGTTTGAATTTGCCAGTGTGACTGGATATGAACACACAATTAGAATATTAATTCAATAAATCCGGTGGCAGCATTTTTATAATCACATATTCAAATTCTTTGTTCTGAATTTCTTACCCTGAATCCAGAGAGCCAGCAGCCAGAGAAGAGGCGTGTGAGAGATCATTCTCCTGGAATGTGGTTGGAAAGATGGGTTCATAAACCTGCAGTGGGAAATGAAATGCTGATAATTTATATGTGCTCAGCCTCAGAGTGAGAACCTCATCCCTATGCAAAATGCATGTAAATGTGCTGCCCTTTCACTTCAGCACAAAGTTGTGAAACATTCATAGCTGGCTTTTCTCCTGCTGCTGTTGCATTTTGGAACATGTCTGTCATGCATGTCCACGGTCCTAGGGGGAACATGCTCAGCCATCTCTGCACATCTTGCATGTATCTTAATAGAGCTAACACATCTCCCCTGGGCCTGGGCCATCACTTGGCCTGGGCCATCAGTGTCTGGATTTGAGCCTTCATGTCAACCTTTCTTTCTGAATACCCAGTGGATGTAACTCATTCCAGACCCTAGGAGAGTGCCTCAGCAGTCTTAGCAAAGCAGTAATCCCAAACAGCTGACCGCCCCAGCAGAATGTTCCCCACAGCATCAACCCCAGGAGTTGTCCAGTGACTATTAGCCTGAAAGCAGAATCTGTGGAAGAACCAAAGAAGATTAGGCCTGCATCTCCTAGAACAGGGAACAGAAGCTGCGCATGTTTAGCTCCTTTGTAGTCAGGCACTCTCTGTCCGTTTTTGGACTTTAGTGAGGGAGACTCTTTATTGACACTGTGGAATGGCTCATTCTAAGGCAGCACATATCAAATAGTCAAATATCTACATAGTCTCCTCTCTGGCCCCCTGACACGGCAAGCGTGGGCATGGCACAAGAATGGGTTGGGATTAGAGATGGGGCTGACAGTGTGTGCCTACGAGTCAGGTGTTCGCTTCTCCACAGAGGCTGGTTTCCTGACTATCTCAAAGACTCTTCAGTGCCAAGCATCATACGGATAATAACAGAAAGAGGAGGATTTAAGGAGAAGCTCTTGATGAACTCAGGAAAGCAAGCAGAGGCCAGGGTGACGGACAAATTCAAGAGCCTCTGTGTGTGACACTTGCCGCTCAGCAAGTTGAACAAATGGCTTTCCTGCTGCTCTTCCAGCCCGTTTGCTGCACTGCTTACTACTAATGAGCGCTAATAGCAGGGGATCCTGCTTTGAGTCAGATGTTTGCACAATCCTCTCCACTTCCCCAAATCAGATGTTTGCACAATCCTCTCCACTTCACCAAATCTGCCCTCTCACAGGGTATGTCTACACTACAAAGTTAATTCGAACTAACAGACGTTAGTTCGAATTAACTTTGATAGGCGCTACACAAGCGCTCCGCTAGTTTGAACTTAATTCGAACTAACGGAGCGCTCAGTTCGAACTAGGTAAACCTCATTCTACGAGGACTAAACCTAGTTCAAACTTACTAGTTCGAATTAAGGCCTGTGTATCCCCTTAATTCGAACTAGTGGGAGGCTAGCCCTCCCTAGCTTTCCCTGGTGGCCACTCTGGCCAACACCAGGGAAACTTTATTGCCCCCCTCCCGGCCCCGGACCCCTTAAAGGGGCACGGGCTGGCTACGGTGCCCGTGCCAGGTGCAAGCCTGCCAGCACCCAGCCAGCAG